TCATACTGGCCCAATTGCTTTGATACTTGGTATGTAGGTACCATGGTTGGACATCTGTCACATTTGTCCATTTTGTGGTGATATCTTCAATTCTCTATTTTTAGTTTATATTTTTGTCTTTTTAGATAGAAAAAGCTATATTCAACTTCTTGAAAACTACCTGCTTGATTGCTTTGATAATTAGTATGTAGGGTTCATAGGTTGACCTTTGAAATTTGTAACAAGATGATAACAATTATAATTGCCATGGCAACAACCAAATAAACTACCATGGTAGTTATTTATATTATATCATTGTGGGAACACTAATAAGCCTGGAAAATACTAGTAGTTAATATCTCATCGTACAGATCATTATCAACTGTGTTTCAAGGAAGAGACTTCACAAAGACAGTGATAAAGACATTTTGATCATTAGAACGCTTCTTTCTTTTCATTTCTATGCAATTTGCTCACTAATAAAGTGGTTGATTTATGTGAAAGTTTGCACATGAGTATATACAGTACTCATATATAAGTAATAGGTAATAATAGGATGTGTTGTGATTTAAATATATTAATTTATCTAAAAAATACTATAATCAAAGCCTTAAATGTATCCGAAACATTTTCTTGACGATGAAACAGGTGATTTCATTCATACTTTGTATCAGAATCATGCATATTGGGTCACAGGTGCATGTCATATGTTTTTCAAGAATTGAGCTATAAATATATTGCTAATTCTTCAGTTGAAAGTTTTCTATATTCATATGTTGTGTTATTTTGTGTGATTTGATCAAATTTGTTGAATTGCTGGTCTATTTGTCTAAATTTCTCTCTGTTTACTAGCAATATGTCATGCACCGGGCCAGTAACTATGTCCTGAAATTTGTCAGTACATATATTTTATTTAATTCTTGGGGATAAGTTTGATCATTTGTCATTCAGCAATTTATATGATTGGATGAAATGAATTGAAATTACGTAACAATCATTAGATGTTCAATGCAAATCAGTCAGCTGCTTAGCTGGCAATGTCCCTGTTTTGATGTCCATAACAATATGACAGTGAAAGTAATGGAGAAAAAACAGTTCAATGGCCAGTTGTACGTCTGTAAAATGCAATGTACAAAAGAAATATACAGTAAAAAATGTTCTGAAATCTTTCTTCTAGTCTAACGTGCGGTACAACGTGGCATGCAGCAGGACTTGTTGGAAGAATGCGAGCGACTGCAGTAGAAACTGAGTGTTCCTCTATCAGCTCTGAGCTGTACTCCAAATTGGAAGAAGAAACTGGTATTGCAACAGGTATGTTGGGGGACAACGTCAAAAAATCTAT